TACAGCATGCTAGGCTCCACAGAGAATCACAAACCGAAGTCCCACATATCATGCACATGCAATACACACAGTTCGCAACAAGACTCATACAAGAATTCTCACATTCATCCACGTGCATTTTTGTAAATTAAAATAAATTTTAAAAAGATAGAAAAGTAAATTTTAAAAGTGAGGTGGGGAACACTGACCTTTTCGTCCTGCTAATGAAACATATTTGATAATCATAAGCTATCAAATCATTTGCTGGTTTAATCTGCATTTCATTAAGAAAGAATTAATAATCGTTACTTTCTGTACTAACTAAATCCTAAGGTTAGGTTTTCTAGTGTTAAGTTAATTAGATGTTATATTTTTAGTTTAAGTTCCATTTAGCTTATCTGATTAGGTCGTTGACATTTACACAACCTAGTACATGTTAGGTTTACTTACATGATGGGTATATTCCAAGTGGTACTGTTACTATTTTATAATCTTTTGCTAATTATTTCCTTGACATAGACTTAGCTACCAACTATAACGTCTAATAGACTTGGCCTAAGTTACTAATAACATGTTAATCAGAATCAATTCACAAACCAGCCTTATTCATTTCATTTCTTTTTTTTTTTCTTCCCTTCACTTAACAGATTTCTTTTTCCATTCTCCGGAAAAATTGGCCGATCTACCCAAAGGTTGACATGCATTGTCAATTTTACCTTATTCTTTTTCGGTTAGCCAATATTACCCTAATTTATTGAACCGTTAGTTTTAATTACAAAAATATCCTAATAGTTTTGAAAATTATAAAAATGACCCAAAAATTTGTAAAAATAACAAAATAGTCTTTTTTATTTTTTATTTAATTTTTTCTGTGTTCTAATTCTTTTCACTATTTCTCATAACTATAAAAATATATTATATAATCTTTTAAAAACAAGCTATTTATTTTTAAAACACTATTGTGAAAATTTATAGATATGCATATTCGTAACTCATGGTTAATTTACATAAACATATTAATTTTTTAATAATATGGTTTAACAGTAATGATATAATTTTTTTAATCTATTTTTTTCAATCTAAAAAATAAGATTATTTAACTAAACCTAATTTTGCACAAACAATAAAACATTTAGCATAGATTAAATTTTTTTTATTGGTATACTTTAATGTATTATTACAATATAATTCAACAGAATTTAGATTATATTGTAAAATTAAAAAAATAATTAAACTAAAATATACATTTTCTTTAAAAGGCCAAGTACAAACAGAAAGTAAAAAAAGTGGTACAAAATATTTTATAAAAAATATATATATTTATCATTACGAGAGTTTAACATTTCGTGATAATTTTTTTGAGATATTAACATCTAACTTTCGCAGAAAATTTTTTTTAATAATAATAAAAAATCTGCTCCAGTACTGGACTCCACCTTAAAAAAAAAAAAAAAAAGATCGCCCCAGTAAGAATTGAGGCCTCGAACACAATAATAATCATCTCCCATCTTAAATCATCTGACCATCCAACTCAACCCTCTCACCTTTAGTAAACCGTGCATAAATGTGGATAAAATCACTCTACCGGTTAAAAATCCTTAGTGAGAATTAATCTTATATCTACTATCATGAAACTCAACACCCTAAACACTAGATTGTACACTATATTTTAGTTTAGTAATTTTTTGAATTAGATAATACAATCTATAGTTTGTTTATTCAATTTGTAATAAATTAAAATATACTAATATATTAATTTTTAATCTATGCTAAATGTTTTACTTTTTTGTAAAAAATTAGTTTTTAGTCAAAAAATATTATTCTTTAAATTAAAAAAATAATTAAAAAAACTAATATCATTATTGTCAAGTTATATTATTAAAAAATTAATATGTTTATGTAAATCAATCATGAGTTATAAATATTCATATCTATAAATTTGCACAATAGTGTTTAAAAATAAATAGTTTTTTTAAAAAGATCATATAATATATTTTTGTAGTTATGAGAAATAATAAAAATAAATAGAAAACAGAAAAAAATTAAATAAAAAGTGTAAAAAGACTGTTTGGTTATTTTTACAAATTTTTAGGGTTGCTTTTATAATTTTTAAAATTATTAGCGTATTTTTTGTAATTAAAACTAACAGAATTCCGTTAATTTAAACTGCAACTGACCAATTAGTCAAAACCGGCTAACGATTGAATAGTTTAGGGTAATATTGAGTAATAAAAAAGAATAAAGTAGAATTGACAACGCATGCCGACCTTTGGGTAGATCGACCAATTTTTCCTCCATTATGCTCCATCTCCTATTTCAAATGGAACACAGAAAATAGCCTCTTGGTGCTTCGCTTCCCTGTTTCCTAATGTAAGTCGAAAGAGGACCAATCGGCCACCCCCAAACCTCAGTATCATTGGTCAATATTTAGTTGCTTCTAGTTAATTTAATTATTCCATATAGCTGAACAAAGAAAGTTCAAACCAAAAGTTTCCCAAACTAAAATCCCCAAAATTAACGAACACAAATCCTATTTGGCCTAATTAACAAATCCCAAACTCATCCAAATCTTAATCGATATTAAAGACCCCAAACTGCTGCAACCCGAATAGAATCGAAACTAGAAGAAAGTGAAACTAATTCAAGATTACCTATTTCTTTTATTCTCCGTTCCTTTCCTCCTTCAACTCCCTAGCTAATTTCTTGCCCCCCCCTTTAATTCTCGTTGTTAAGGAACATAAAATGGTCTTGGTTGTAGGAGGAAGGCAGCCCGGTTGATGTTGCTGAAAATGATGGGGGAAAAGGGGGAAAATAGAACCTTGAAGAACGGAATAGAAGAGAGGTAGAGAATGTCGATGATATTGATGCAGATGATGGGTTGGGTTTGCCAAAGAAAATTAAATGTTTAGTCCCAAAATACTTTAGAAGTTTCAATCAGACCCATTTATAATATGTCCCTATTACTCTATTAATGTCTACTTGTTAGTCCCTATTAAGCCTACGTAGTAGTGCCATGAAGGTCCTCATCAGCATATATTATAATTGGGGAATGTGAGATTCTTTTTGGTAGTCCTCTCACATGATTCTTACATGCATTTTTATGTTTTACTTTAGATTTTTTTTTTTCTTCTTCTTAAACTAAAAATGTTGTAACTTTTCGTTTTCTTTTTTATATTTTCTTTCCTATTATTTTTCAACATTTATTGTGATCTTTTATTACAATTGTTAAATTTTTCATTTCTTTTTATATTTTATTATTTACTATGTGTGTTATACGTTTTATCTCCCTTCATCTTCTGTTCTTTATTATCGGTATTAAATTTCATATATATTTCTCTTCTATTATTTAATAATGTTATACTTTTCATCTCCCCTTATCTCTTGTAACAACTTGTTCATGTGTCCTTTTGTTTACTTTTAGCATTCAATACAATAGTTTTTATTAAAACTATTTAAGCACCACAATCCTAATTCATCTTTTATTTTGGTTTTCTCTCTGCTCCCTTTATCTCTTATCCTAATTTTCTTTCTTTTTTCTCTTCTTTTGCAAATTCTTTCAATATGTTTTAATAATTTGATTGAAAGTTCAAGTTGAATTCAAATAGAAGTAGGGACGATCATGTTTGGCTATTCAGATAACATAAAGTTAAGGTGCAAAATCCAAAAGCAGTGAATGAAGGTTGTAATAAAAAAAATTTAAATTGTTCTTGAATAATAGGCGTCTTCTTGATTTCAGGTAAAATATAATGCGGTTAATACTTTACAATTCGTAAGCAATAGTTTTTATTTATTTTTTCACCAAACATTTTGAAACCATGACTCTGTTCACATATTCAGGTTATTGAATTTATTGCTGTAAATGTCAAATTAAATTTATGTGAGAAAAATTATATACAGTTCCATTTTGATCATCTATATTATTGTAACAAAATGGATTATGAAAAAAGATAATGGAGCATTCTTTTGTTGTTTCTCTCTTCAAATTTAAGCATGTCATAATTACATATTTAGAGTTAACATATATCATTATACTCATGTTGTTTTATATTGCAGCATGCGCGAAGCGCGTTCGATCCATCTATTATACTTAATTAGGTGCTAATACTGTCGGATCTCACAGTTCACATTTCAAAAACTCAAAATAGTTGTTACAATAAAATGGATTTTACAATGATAGACCATCATTTTTGTATGTCACATTGTTTTCCATTATGCCGAATTTAGTTTTGAATAAAACTCTCTTTTCAATAATTGTATTATGAAAATTTAGTAATATATTCTTTTTGACAAAAGTTTGAATCTTATTTTCTTGAACACGTGTTAAGAGATTTATTAGAGTATCTAAATCATAACATGAAGCATCATTTCGTCCAATCATTTATTCTAATAAAGTTATACATGCTTACTTTTTCATAATAATTACAACGTCAGAATCATTTACCAAAATATTGTGTTTGTACCACTGGTCGCCTGAAATACAAGGATCAGAAGGAGTGGTCAGGAAATAACATTACCGGAAAACCAAATTCCATTTTTAAGAACTACAGTAATAAAAAAGAAATTTCATTTACCGGTTATAATATAATTAAGAGTACTAATTGTTTTGACTGGATGATTATAACAAAAACGGAAAACCATTTTCCGTTTTAATTAAATTCATTAATTAAAAAAAATTCATATAATAATAATACCGGGAAATAATTTTCATAGATAATAAACGGAATTTAGTTTTCCGTTTTTAACTTGGAATGTTTGAAAAAAAAAGTGAAGCCTAAAACTCACCAACCTGTGCAATACCAATAAACAAAACCAAATCTTCATTCAAACAGAAACAAGCAGCAACTTGTGTAACACCAATAAATAGAACCAAAGCTTTATTCAAATAGAAACAAGCAGCAAAAGTATTCAGTCCAAATCACAACCACAAAAATTCCAGCAACTAATCCATGTCTAAATCATGGAATTATCCCCAAATCATGTCCAAAATAGTTCAAAACTACGAAATACAACCTAAAGAGAAATTACTCCTCCGGCGATGGCGGCGTGGACCTAGAAGGTGTATACTTTTTAGGTGGCCTGTGTTTCCGATCCTGTTTTCTTTTTGCCAAAGGTAGGCTGGATTGCTGCAAAGTTTGGGATGCCTGAAACTCAGCATCTTGCTCTATAGTTGGGGTCACCTCAATCTCAATACCTTGCTTTGTAGTAGTTTGTTCCTGTTCCATAGTAAACATAGTTTGTTCCCCAGTAAACATAGTTTGTTCCTGGGGAGACGGAGTTTGAAACAAGTTTGCAAAGAACTCATTGGATTCTACTACTTTCTTTCTTCCTCCAATTCTAGCCTTAGGGATATTAGCCCTGCGATGTTTAGCAACTGTTATGGGTCTTTTAGGTTGAATTTGGAGAACCACTTGGCTTGGATACAAAGTAGGCATCTCTGTCGGGACAATCGACAAGGCATTCTCAGCCAAAGCAGAGATTGAATCAGAAAATTCCTCACATGTCGCATTTTAACAACATTTCTCAGCCTTGTATGTTTCGACCTTCTTGAGAATGTCATTCAAAGTGCCCTTCTAGAATTTTGCAAAGAGAAAAAACTATAAAATAACTAAAAAGAATACAAAATAACAGTAATCTATTGGAAATGACAGTTGAGAATTACAATAAAGAAGGGTGTGAGGAAAACTTACATATAATTTTGCTCGATCTGATTGTTGAAGAAAACCCTCCACCCTTTGGTCGTATTTACTAGGATCCGTACTGAATCTAACGGTCCTGGATTGATATCACAGAAGATAATCATCAGTGGCTAAAGGTAGCCCATTAGATGATGGGCCTTCCTCAATGGAGCTCAATCTGTCATCCCAAGAGTCAATGTATTCACGATTCTTATCCACCCAATTAGTCCCATGATATCCAGTCTTACCATAACGATGTATTTTTTCCCATTGAGTCTTGTTGGCAATCAAGGGTGGTTCTGGGATAGTTTGGATTTGTCCAAATTGTCGCAGGACACGATCGGGTTGATGTGGTTCCGTGACATCAAAACAAATCAACCACGTTTTTGATTGCCAACATTTTTTACCCCGTGTACAAGAATCAACAAGCTTAAGGAGGTATTTAGCATAAGGCATCCAAGTGAACTGACAAATTAATTAAAAAAAAAAGAATAAAAGTGTTGCAATGTCCAGATTTGAAAAATGAGAAAAAAACAGTTCTGAAAAAGGGGAAAAAATCCAATTATCTTGAATGATTTGAAAAACAGTCCTGAAAAAATCAACAACTGATCCAGCGGTGAAAAACAAAATGTCCAGATTTGAAAAAATGAAAAAAAAAAAAGTCCTGAAAAAAGGGAAAAAAAATCTAATTGTCTTGAAGGAATTAAAAAACAGTCTTGAAAAAATAAAAAATAAATCCAGGTTTAAAAAACAAAATGTCCAGATTCGAAAATTAAAAAAAAAACAGTCCTGAAAAAATAAAAAATAAATCCAGGTTTTAAAAAAAAATGTCCAAATTTGAAAATTAAAAAAAAAACAGTCCTGAAAAAATAAAAAATAAATCCAGGTTTAAAAAACAAAATGTCCAGATTTCAAAACAGTCCTGAAAAAGACCAAAAAAAAAAAAACCAGGTGCCAAAAGTCCAGAATAATCCGAGCTCTTACATGATTAGGTGTAGTAAGAGCTGAAAATTGATCTCGGTAGGCAGTGATAGTATGAGCCGGTACCCCAGAAAGGCCCAAAGGAACGCACCACCTATGGGAAAAATAATAAACTGTGTAACGTTTCCAAGCAAACTAAAATAAGTGTAACAATAAAAATTAAAAAATATAAGTATATGTACATAACTCACCTTGCACCAAACGCATGGTCCTTGAAAAATTCTTCATCACATTGCCTCTGTGGTCGTATCATAGGGATACGCTCCCACGCCCACAGCTATACATAAAAACAATGACAAGCTGTAAATTTCAATATTTGTTTAAAAAAAAATAGTGACTGAGAAGTGAAATGGTGTAAAGATGATTTGCAAAAGAAGTAGGCAACCACCAACATTCCAATTTTTGCTTTGTGCTGCCTTACAAAGACCTTTGTAAAGCATAGCGAGACATGCACTGCCCCAGCTAAGTTTAGCACAATCCTTCAGGTTGTGTAACAATGGCAAATAACACAAGGAAACTGTATTAGTTGAGTCAGGAAAAAGTATACCGCTTAAAGCCCACATTATAAAGACCCGTGCCCTCTTTTCATAAGCAGGTTTTTCAAAATTCTCGGCAATAGGCACAGGTACTTGTTTTTTTAAGGATGATATGTGAATGGTGTTTCCTTTGAAGGTGGGTACGAAATCCAAAAGTTCTTCACACATAGCAGGCCAGACTGTCTTCTCTACAGGGTTGTGCGTAACAGGGGAGCCATCTACATTTAGTAGTAGAACCTCAACGTCTTGGAGAGTGATGGTTGCTTCACCCATTGGGAAGTGAAACGTATGCGTTTCAGGACGCCATCTTTCGACCAAGGCAGTAATAAGATGGTTGTCTAGTTGCAGATGTCCGTTCGACAACAAAAACCCAAAACCAGCTTCATGAATACATTCTACTACCTGCTTAGGTGTGCCAACAAACTCTCCCCAAATTCGACTATTATTTCTCCAGCACTTATGGTGTCTATCTATAAAATCTTCTACACCGTCGAAAACAGGTGCCGATCTATGGTCACCTTGCAAGTATAGGAGGTCGCCAATGTCCGGTCCCTGGTTAGTGTACACTTGGGTTTGGGTTTGCGTTTGGGTTTGTGTAGAAGAACTAGCTATTTTTCTGCAAAAGGAGTTAAACACGAATATTTCAACAATGACTAAGGGAGTAGAAAACTGAAATAAGGACAAAAGCAGTTAAACACAGAAAGTAATACCAGATAAAAGTTAAAGAGAAAACTTGAAATAAGAATACTACACATTAAAGGGTTTTCAAGTAAACTCAAGAACATTTTTGTTTTCAGTTCAAGTACTTTAATATCTGAAACGTATAATTATTGAGGCAGAACCACATTGAGGCAGAACCAAATTGAGGCAGAACCACATTCTAACTTTTAAGCAGTTAGAGAATTTTGTATCCTTTTCAAGATAAATCTGGAAAAGACAGAGCAAATCACACCAAACAACTGCAAGAAATGCATGTCTCTGCTAACACAAAAACAGAACTTGACTAAATAATCTATTTACTAAGCAAGTTGCAAAACTAAAGGTTCTACAACTTCCATTAAAGTTCCAGTGAGCACCTTCCTGCTCTAATGAAGTCAAAATCCTACACAGACACTTTGCACAAAACGAAACACAGAGTAGGCAAATTTGCACAAAGCCGAACTAGATAATGAGAAATCCCAACTGAAAAGAAAAAAGGAAAATGGAGACAGACGGCAAGAAATACTTACAGGCAAATAATCTGAGTGTGATGTTAGCTCTCAAAATGGCAGTGAATCTCCAAGTCTAGCAACGCAATGGCCAGCGGAGGGAGTAGATCTAACAAGGTGGTGGCCGGCAAATGGAGCAGAGGGAGTAGATCTAACAAGGTGGTGGCAAGCGGATGGAGCCGAGGGAGTAGATCTAGGTGGGTGGTGGTCGGCGAGGAAGCAGAGGGAGTAAGTTTAGGTGGTGGTGGCCGGCGGAGGAAGCAGAGGGAGTAGATCTAGGTGGGTGGTGGTCGGCGAGGAAGCAGAGGGAGTAAGTCTAGGTGGGTGGTGGTCGGCGGAGGAAGCAGAGGGAGTAGATTTAGGTGGTGGTGGCCGGCGGAGGAAGCAGAGGGAGTAGATTTAGGTGGTGGTGGCCAGCGGGTGGGTGGTTTTAGGTTACGGAATTAAGTGGTGGTGGTGGAAGAACATAGGAAAAGGAGGAGGAAAAAATCCGGCCAACAGAACAATTGACCAACAGAGCTGATTTTATGCGGTCAAATCTTTTGACTTTAAAACAGAAATCCGTTTTCCGGTTTATTATTATTTAAATTAAAACAACAAAACCGTTTTCCGTTTTTACACGGTTTCTTTTTTTTTTTTTTACATTTTTACATCTAGATTTCCGTTTTTTCTTAAACACGGAAAATGGAATTCTGTTTTTTTGACAGTATTTATAATTATGTTTAATTCCATTAGGTAATGTCCGATTATCCTGTTCGACAGTATTTATAATTCCACAAAAAAACATTATTAATAAACAACAATACAAATAAACTGTTTAGTATACAAAAAAACATTATTAATAAACAACAATACAAATGAACTGTTTAGTCCACAAATAATATAACATTATTCAGACTTCTTCTACGCCTTCAAAACCATCAGCATCCCAATTGACATTTATTCTTGTCCGATCAGCTCTGCAGTGCGAACGAGGACATTCCCTTGTTTTATGGTCAGCAGCGCTGCATCTCCTACATCTTCTGCGTCGACCCCTATAGTCCATGGCCATCATGTATCGCGGCTTCTGGGTACGACCTGGACCCCTGTAAAGAACAAGATTTTTATAATCGGTAACAAGGTTCCAGCCTGGAAAGGTCCACTCTTCTTTTCTTGCGACGGGCATAAATCCCGGATTTCGAAATTGCTCACGCCATGTTGTTGTCTTATGATACTCATGTATTATGTTCTCTGGATGGTCACCAATTTCTCGGCACACACGCAAGGCATGTGAACATGGAAGCCTGTAAGTTTGCCACTTTTTACAAGTACAACGCGCCTTACTATACTCGACGGTGTGAACATTCTGGCCTTTACCACCACGATGCAAAGCGGTTCACCTTGTATACAAGGTTTGGTTCATCGTACACTTCCACATCGTGACCAGCAGCAGTATTCTCATATTCACAGAATTTTTCCCAATACTGATCACCAATAAGGGTATCACACCTTAAGGCCTTCTCAAATTGCTCACGGTAGAACTTCACAGTTTTGGCCAATGTTGACTCCACTATAGCTCTAATAGGTAAAAATCGAATGCCCTTCAAGACATTGTTGTAACTCTCGGATATGTTTGTTGTCTGGTTGCCCCAACGTGCATAATCCAAATCATAGGCAAGACTCCACCTTGCTTTTGGAATAGCACGCATATATGCTTGACCTGCTTCATTGCACTCACCCAACTTCGCCCAAAATCTTCTAAATTTGTGCGCTTGCAACTTCTTTCCCAATCTCCAGCACACCCAAGCTGTTTGTTGCGGTTGGCTTTTGTGTTTGGACATCATATTACTCCAAACGTGTCGAAGACAATACCTGTGGTATCCCAAACTTGGTTCGTCCCACAAATCAGGATTTTTTTTTCAGTGCACTGATTATCCCTTTATGCCGATCTGATAGGAGACATGTGACTCTGTTGAAGAGAACGTGGATCCTCAAATTTACCAGAAAAAATGACCAACTCTCCTCAGTTTCTTCATCCACAAGTGCAAACGCGATAGGCAGAATATGCTTGTTAGCAGTTTTCACCATTCCTACAAGTAACTTCCCCTTGTATTGACCACGAAGGAACGTGCCATTGATGCTCACAACTGGGGGGCACTTATGAAATGTCTCAATAGCAGGACCAAATGCCCAGAAAACATATTTGAAGGTCCGATACTCTTCATTTTCAGTCCCATCCTGCCATTTCCACTCAACAACTGTCCCGGGATTAGACTTCTGCAGTGCTGCCATATACCTATATTATTTTTAAAAAAATCAGACAAACATGTTAAAATCAGTCCAGCAAAGTATAAAAACAAAAAAAAGAAAGTGCATAAAGTAAATAAATAAAAAAAAAGTCCATACAAATTAAAAATCGTACCACGGTAATTCGGTAAAATCATCGATCCAATTGCCCCACACCGCTTCGATGGCTTTTCTTCTTGCATGCCATGCTCTCTTGTACTTCACATCCACCTTATAATGTTTCTTCACATCATCTCTTATTGACCTCACTAAATAATCTGGGTCTATTTCAACATTACGCATTATAAGTCTGGCAATCACGCCGGCTGTTATATTGCAATTGTCATTTCCTGTGGTACGTCCCACACAATTGTGTCAATCTGTCCAGCTTACAATTTCAAAAAGACCATGAGCCTTACGAGACGCACGCATCCTCCATCCACACGTTGATTGGCCAGGTGGGGTTTCTGTTTTTCTGGTTATGCACTCTGCAACCCACGATTTCGGGTCAGAATATTTAACATAATGCTGTCTATTCTGCCAGGAGCTCCAGTCAGCCATAGCGGCCCTAATCTCTTCCTTGTCATTGAAGCACGTCCTTAAACCAATGTTTTCTTTCTTTCTTTTCCACATCTTAAGTGCAAATTCATCTCGGTCTATTGACGCAGCATTGAAGTCACCAATATCTGAATAAACATGCTGACCTTGATAAGAAGTGATTAATTTTTCTGCCTGTTGTCGTTGTTGTGGCTCTTCTTCTGCATCGTCATCGCCAGTTTCATCCGCCATAGATGTTTCATAATCACTTTCTTCTTCGCTTTCAATATAAGTACCATCTGATTCATCATCCTGATCCGAATCACGTCCATTATTTTCATATCTGCCTTGAGCCTCGGTAATGAACCGATCCTCGCTGCTCCTGCTTGGCCCTGCTTCTGCGTTTTGTTGAGAAGTACTCGCCCAATGTGACTGTGACCAAAATGTGTTCGGTCCTCCTTCTGTATGTTGATAGGAAGTACTGCCCCATTGTTCTTGGGACGCAAAAGGACCCATCGTTTGTCCAGAAAGATCCAGTAAACTTTGGGCATGAACTATCCCTTCATTTTCTACATACAGATCCAAATTTGATGATCCAGGAAAATAATAAATAATTTCCAAAGACGAGTCATCAGTGATTGTCGCGGTCCTTCTAATACCGTTAGTTTCAAACAACAATGTAATTCTCAAATTCACAGAATATCTATCTCATCCGGCTTTATCACAAATTCTGGCGAAAAACTCAGAATATGATAATTTCCGTTCAATAAACAATGTGACATCTGCTCTGTTATCAAATGTTCTAATCGTACCATCCTCTATAACATACTTACTTCTCCAATATACATTAATAAAATACGGACCATTCCACTCCATTTTCTCCTGTTTAAATGTAATAATCCATAATAAATTCATGTAATTAACAATGACATTAAAATCAACTAAACACGACCCTAGAAATCTTAATAAAAATATATACAAAATAAATTATTCCATATAACATATATGATTACTGATTTCGTAAACCATCTCACCATTAAATATAATTACACTAATTCAAACAATTGAAAAAAAATAATAAACGAAATAACACGTAATAAATAAGATTAAATCATTACTAACCTTCTTAATGATGTAAATGTGGCATAAAAAACAAGCTAAAGCTGCACTTCCTTCTCCAAAACTGTCCAGAATTGTATATTTTCTTTCAGATTCAAAACTGTCAAACGAGTAAACAGTGAAATCGTTGAATTATAAATGAACCATAAAACGGAATTTGAATTTTCGTTTTTACTGATAAAACATGGTCCGACCGGTCACGCTTACAGAGCGCTAGTGTCAGCACAATTATTGTTTTGCACATTTAAAATTATAAACGGAATTTGGATTTCCGTTTTTGGACACAAAAACGGAATTCGGATTTCCGTTTTTGCTGAAAAGCACTGTCCTTTGTCCAGTGGGTCAGTATCAGCACAATTATTTAGATTCCATTCCAAACACGGAATTCCAATTTCCGTTTTTTAACTTTTTTTTCCCATGGAAATTGATTTTCCCTTTTTCGTCGATATTATTCGCACCAATTTTATAATTTATTAATGGAATAAATAAAAATGGAAATCAGATTTCTGTTTTATTAATGAGAATTAGTAAAACGGAAAATCATTTTCCGGTATAGTTAGATACTGACCAAAAAAAAAAAAAATAGTTACATGTCTTGTCCATTTTTTAAACTAATATTCTTGTCCAACACCCTACAACGTCAATAGGGGAAAAAAATCATTTAGAACTTTAAGCATTGGGGCTTATAAAGGTTAATGATTCGAATTTTAAAACTGCAATTACTTTTTTCATGGACTTACATCTTCGATGAAATTTAAAAAATCATAATTTAAACATAAATACCTACGTAAGTTGTAAGCAACTTTAAATTCATAAAGTTGTAATATGTAATACAAGTAATATGTAATCAAAAATTTGATGTCAACTATAATTTTAGTAGAGTTACCTTCCACGTTAATTTTGAAAACTATACGATACAGAAAATCACAAAATAAAGATTATTGGCTATTGAATTTATGAAAATCTACGCCGAGCACATCAAACAATACGAACTATGTATAACTATTAATAAATTTCAGTCAGCAACGAATCAAATATTGTAGGAATCACTGACTACAATTGACTATTGACTAACTTTTCAAGAAATTAATTTCTATGTTGATTTTCTAAAAACCTTACGATATGGAAGGTCACAAAGTTTGACGAATAGTGAAAATTTCACACAAAAATATAACTTGCAGTTATAAGGCAAGAGTTGAAATTTCATCTCTTTCTTAACTTAAAAAATAATGTGAAAAATATGCATTTTTTATGAACAATGTGCAATCAACATTTAAAAAAAAAAAAAACAATGTAGAATGAGGTTAATAATAAATTAGGCGCAATGAACAATGCGAAATGAATTTGACCCTTTTGGAAAACGCTCCCTCATTCAATTGCACTGGAAGTCAATATTTTGCAAGCAAAGAGCTTATTCCATTTTTTGGGGGGGGGGAGGGAAACTAGCGAGGAAGTGACACGTGTAATTTAGGATTAAAATTATTTCTAGAGATTATTGTTTTGATAGTACATCCAAATAAAATTTTCAATATGTTATGAATTGCATGCACCAATATTTCGTAATAAAAGGGATAAAACATGTCTAAGTCAATTTAATAAAATGATACAATAAAGCATAGAATCTAATTCTAATTGAACAATATAATTACATGTTAGATTTACCAAGCGACAAGGAATGTGGGATAATAGTAGGCCTAGGAATATCGAGCCTTAGCCGTCCAATTATCTGATCACATGAAATAAAATGAAATTCATAAAAAAGTATTAATTTCACATTATTGGAAGATTTCAAATTGTTGTTGCATAGAATTGATTTTGTAAGGATGTCTAACAATTCTGTAATTCATCTTATTTTCTAAAACACCAAATTTGGAGATGAATACAATTCCCCTTGCAACAATGACATGCTGGAATCTTTTAAGAATTTCTTCCTCAACGAAACTTGAATCTTGTTTCCCTAAACAAATATAAAAAGTTAAAAGATATAGCAAAATTACAATAATTAATCTGATGACGTGCAATAATATAAACTTGTGAACTTACAAAAATTTATCTTTTTATCAATTAATATCAATTCAACAGAAAAAAAATCGTTTAGATCTTTAAACATCAAGAACTTCCAAAAATTAATGACACAAACTTTCAAACTGCAGTTATTTTCAGCGGACTCACATCTTCAATAGATTGTGTTAATCTTTCATCTTGAAAATGCATAAATTAAACATCAATATCTACGTAATTAAGGTTCAAGTATAAGAGAAAATTAGACGCTTGAGAAAAATTTATTCAAGGGTTGCCAAAAAATCTCGGAAACATTTGTTGCCCACTGAAGCACAAATTCTTGAGTTGTGTTATGGGGTAAGGAAATAAAAGCAACCCATTTGGCCCAGTCTATTGGAGTTTCATGGTCGATGATTGTTCCAAAGCAAAAACATATGATAAATGAGGGGCTTGACCTGCTTAAGGGATGCAAAACACAAATTTTTTTTGAGAAGGAATGGACACAGTCTCGGTTACAAGAAATTACTGTCTATCTGAAGAGATTAAATATTTTGAAGAAGCATTTAGTTGAAGTTAGATGGATTGCTTGCTTCTTTAAGGTACAATCATTTCCCATTTGCTTGTATCGATTTTGGCAATTGATTCTTTTGTTACATCATTATGGATAGCATCCATGTTTCTAATTATCAAACTGGATATGTACTTTTTACTAGAGTTGGATTGTAGTTTGTAAGTTTATATCTGAGGGAATAATTTGTGAATGTAAGATTTAAAGTGAAATCTTTCTAGTATGCTTAATTTGTAGAAGTTTTGAGACAAAAGGATAAGGAAAGAGGGTAAAGTCTGGAAAATATGGTAGTCATGTCATTCTTTTGGTATATATATATATTAATTTTCCAGTCATAACCTTTAGTTTAGCAAGTTGCAACTTTAGCTCTTTCATAGACCAAAATTGGTTAGGTGTGCATGCAATAGAACTTGAAATATATGACTGATTTTTAATACTCTCTTCGTCCTATAAAAATAGTCCACATTGTAAATTTTATGTTTTTTAGTTCAATTTACAATGAGAGCTAGTTTTGCGGAACAAATAGAGTACTAATTAGGTTGATGTTTAAAAAATTGATTTATGAGATTTTCCAGTAGCTTTTACACATTGAATGTGTTTATGAGCTGGCAAATTGCTCCCTCAACTTTTTTGACTCCAACTTCGAATCCTTATGGAAAAACATAAATTTGCAAATTGTCTATACTCTTGAACAGCAAACTAGGTCATGATTAAGCACTAAGCAGTGCGTTATTTCTTTTGCTTTTTTACGATGCAATGTCAATGGTTTCTTTTGCTTTTTTACGATGCAATGTCAATGGCATTCCAATACCATGTATTTTTGTTGGGGATTTCTTTTACCTAAACTCACAAACTGTTCTTTTGGAGTTTCATATATTGGTATTTTTTAAATTTCAAGTTTATTGTGAAATTTTCTTATATTTGTACTTTTAGTTATCGCAAGAGGAAGCAGATTAGACTAGCCAGCCGTCTTTACTTTTGCTTTTGGAATTGTAGAAAGCTCAAGTCTTTTGCTGTTTCGCCTTTTGCTTCATGCGCCTCCGCATCGACTTGGTTTCGACTCATTTCGGCACATCACTTGAGTTTCTTGCTTTAGAAGATTCTTTTAGTATTGGCAAGACTTGGCCCCATATTTTTAGATGGAAAGAGATTTATGCTTATGAAGTTCGTGTTTGTTTGAAGGCTGTAAAACATTGCTGATGACATTATCACCCGAAAGAATTAGCCACAATCCATTTTTTCCCCCTCAAAAATTAAAAGTGTTTCACCTTTCCCCCTAACAATATTGCTACAACACTATCTAATCATTTCATATTTTGCTACCGTAACATGGCTATATCATGAGAACTAGTATCATCATTATGTTCGTGTTAGAGCAGAAAAGACACTTTCATTTCAAATGTTGTCACTAAAACTTTCAGACATGCCATAATACTAACTCAAAATAGTCTAAACAAAAGAACGAATACGATTACACAAGATAATGATACACTTTCTTTCTAAATGAGACAAATGATGTGTTTTCCACATTAAGACTCCAAGTAGCATGTATTTTGCCACCCATTCTGCACAATCGCTGGCCAATCCAATGTTATCCAGCCCCGGGGCCAATTGAAAACTCTCATCAAGTACAACAACTGCTCGGCTGCCATATCATATCCCTCGAACGAGAATCTGCAAGTTGGCCTACCCATAAACATTCATCTTCAACACCAGGGCCATTTGGCATCTCTCCAAACACAACAGCGAGGATTTTGACTCTTCTCAGCGACATTGGAGGAGCTACTACCTTCAGCTTGCAGATGGCCATCCTCATTCCGTCCAAAAGCCATTTTGTTTTGAAGTTGACTGTCACGTAATAAAGCTTCTTCTCTATAATTTGGGCTGTGATATCTTGGATGTTGGATAAAGGAAACTCCTTTCCACCATAGCCTGAAAGCCTATTTGACAGCAAAGTTCCATGGTCAGTAACAAAACTAGGTCATCTTTAATCTTATGCCTAAAAAATCAAACATCACCAAGCTTTTATCTCTGTGGAAAACCAACAGTGAACAAGAGAGAAACTAGCGACTTAAATACAAAATCTAATTTACCACAATAACTGGAGCTTAACAAACTTACGTGCCAATATATCCAAATGGCAACTCGGTGAGGCATTAACCAGAAGAACAAGGCTGGGTCCCTGGCTATCTGGATAGACGTCCTTTTGACTCGCAACGTAGCTGTGAAATAGTTACCTAGCTCAGGATGTTGTACAGAAATGGCCACCCATAAATTATCTTCAGGTGCATTTGCTTTGATACTCCAGCTCCCCAACATATCCTGGTATCAACATAACCAATGTGGTGGAATGATAAGGCTAATATTAGAGGATAAAAAATTCAGAGACAAACTGAGACGCAGATGCAAAATTTTTTTTCAAATTAATACAAAGGAAGCGTTTCATGCTACAAGGACACCTAAAATTTCATGGCAAAAATTGCTCCACATTACAATTTTCATTGAACCAGAACAACATTATGGTTCGTGTAACTAGAATTAATGATACCCAAACTCTTTGAGATACTAATCAAGGTATTAGCCTCAAATCTCACTTTTCATGCCCTTCTAAGCAGGAAACATTCAGTTTCGGAACATAAACCAACTTCCCCTACTTGCTACCACCTCGTCAAGCCTATAGGATAGTCCTGTTCTTATTAATGCAGGACCCACACATAAATGCTGGAGCCTATATCAATGACTAATTTTGACCGAAAAATCTTTGGTCCTCTACCAGAAAAAGTCTTCTGAGTTTTTCACATTTTGAACTAGATTCTTTTGATCCTTTGGCCATTATTTTTACAAGGAGCTGTTAAACCTACTCATAAGCTAAGCACCTAGCCTATCTTTTACAGCGAAAGAAATTAACTTGAAACAAATTCCAACCAATAAAAAAGACATTTTTCTATCCTCCATCTCTTCTCTTCCTCAAGAACCACCACAACAGTGATCTCAGCTGCCCAGCCAACACTCCCAATCCTCACCCTTTCTCTCCCTTCTTCATCCCGCTCCCCACCTCTACCCTCACAACCCCTGCTCTCTATGCTTCCTCCTCCTCCTCCTCCCTCTCCTCATCTCTATCCCTCCACCACTGCTCCTCACCTCAAAAGTAAAACAAAGTTCCTGATTCTTCAATCAAGAAATTAACTGATATGCACATGCCCATAAATAAATTCATACATAAACTAATATCAGTGCTTTTTCACCCACAAAACACTGATAACATAACATTCAATGAGATAGAGGAGAAGTCCATAGTAGTTCTGCGGAACATGAAGCTCAATGGATGTGAAAAAATATAATTGATATGGCTATCTAAACGGGTTCCCTTTATTTTCTATTTGGCTTCTCTTATTGGAATATTGATCAATGATCGTATATAAATCTAGTTCTAGGTTCTACAGTTGTTATTTTATTTTTGGAGGTTGAGCTCAGAGTAAGACTTTTGTTTGTTTTTTGCAAGCCCACAGACTGATAAAATTAAAAATATACATATGATAGTATGCTGTGGTTTAAGAGAAAAACTGCAGTTACAAAATCAGGAGCATTATGTCAATGTTATTTCTGGCGGTGGTAGCAGAGGAGAAAGTGGAAGGTGATGACTGAAGAGCAGATTTGAGAGTGGTGGCAGGAACGATTTGGAAAAATGGTTGAAGAACGGTTCAATGTTTTTCAAAGTCTCAAAAAGTCTTGGGATTCAAAGTAATTTCCGGATATAGATTGTTCCAAGCCCTGGAAATCTTAAACAGTACATTTTTTAATTATAGGACCTAAGAATCACTATTAGGGCCCTTTGGCATCACACTGCAGGATTCCTAGGCATTACACCAAGGGTTTAGTTGAGTCACACAACTGCAGTTGAAAGCATAAGCTTGCAGGAATTTATTCTCATAAACTGTTATTCTCCTGGAAGGAGTACATCTTATTTGTAGACCTAAAACTAACCTAAACCAAGGAAACCTAGGATTCACACCTAATTTTCTTTTTATTCCAGAAAATCCTGTAGCATAGCTAAAATACTAAAATACCCTTTCCTAAAAAATTATTACTGAAAATAATAAACTAATTAAATTGCTGCTTAATAAAGGATTAACTCAACCAAAGTCTTAACACTTTGGTTCCTTTCTTGGATCATGATGATCCTGGGCATAAGAATAGAATATCCTAAAGGATAGAGTTCCTAGGCCTTTCTTTCTCCGCATTAACCGAGAAATCCATTTACTGCAGTACCTTTTTAGTGTAATTGTTATTCCCGTTTACTTTTTGTTTCTCTCAAAAACTTAAGGACAACAAAAAATAGGCACAATTTATCAGGCACAAGAACATTAAGCGACTTCACCATCCCGAGAAACCTTTAGGACATTTAAAGTCGGGACGTCAAGCTAATCAAGTCACTCTTTTCTCAAAGTTAGAAAGTGAAGCTATAAGACATATATACAGCCCTCATAAAAAACTAGTCGTATAATACTCTTGAACCATGAAGAAATGGTTCTTGGTTGATTTGATACAATGAATAATTGCACAAAATCTGCAGTAAGAAAGCTCATCTATTCTATATTCTTCCTTAAGATGGCAAGGACTTATTCTCCACAAGCCAAAAAATGATTGTGGCAGAAGTGCCAAGTAAAATACATCATCTTCTGAAAAGATAAAATGGCCGACTTAATCAAATGCTAGCCCAACCCAAGAGAAATGAGAAGGAAAGCATCCTAGCAATTAGATATGCTCCACCATTGTACGCAGCGTATATTTCAGGTTTAACATTTGATTTTCAATCCTAACAGGGCATAAGCATAAAAGCCTAAGCACACAATACACCAGAAACATCCAATCAAAGGTATGAAGTTCATGCTTTTCGGCAGAGATGCAATTTAAGATTTTAAATCAAGTTGGAAGATTGCTGTTAATCTTTCCCTCAGCAGGCAATTAAGACTTCAGTGGCTTGATTTTGGAAAATCTAAACAAAAAGCAATTGCCAATGCCGCAAGTAACCTTGCAAGAATAACAAGAGAAATGCATTGCCTAAAACCGTGAAGGCATTTAACATTGTAAGAGTAAAAAGAGAAAAACATGGCCTAATGGCCAATATGAATGCTCTTACATAAAGAAGAGAATTCATAGAACGGTAACGCTGTAAGACTTACCATGAAGGGACTAACATGAAGCGGCTTTGCAACTGTGTCAGATTTGGGATCGAATAAAAATGTTACTCTTTCACCCCATGGCGTGTTGGTAACCTGAAAAAATAAACTATTTTGCTTTTAGATTGGGAGTCCCCATCTTCAACAACTCAGCGTCATCAATCTGCTCTACCATAATTCCTTAGAAGCAATATTGAAATACCTCAGCTATGCATTTCTTTAAATTGTGCGTGGAGCCCTCAATGTCATAGCAATAGTACAAACTCAATGGATTCTGTTCATATCCCACACTTGGAGGTATCGTCAACAGGCAACTGTTACATCAACATAAACCATTGGAAATCAAAATTTTTTGCATTACATTGACAATGATAACAAGCGCATTGCACAAAAAGCATTCAAACAGAGAGCAGCTGTGAAAACATCTTGAACTAAACAATCAGCCCCATCGAAGTTTCATTGCAAAGGTTAAATTATTTCAAAAACATTATTCAAACTCAATCAGGTGAAGGACGGTAAAAACTAAACATCATTCAAACTCAATCAGGTGAAGGATAGTAAAAGCTAAGCAAATTGATACGAAGGGAAAGGTTCAAAAAGATCCATTCTCAAAAAATCTATATGATATATAATATAATACCAGCTAAAAACAATAAAATAAAATAAAACTTATATAACTGTCAAGCCAATCCGCCGGGAAAAACGGAGATTAAAAGCACCCAGGTGTACTTTTTGCATTCTTCACAGCAGAAACCGAAAATTTTGAACGAAAAGCTACATGGATCCAATCCACCCGACTTCATTAGTCCCAAAAAGACAAAATTTGATAACAGAAAAGCTAATTTGCTAGTGAAGCAACACAATTAAAAGGACCCATAAAACTAAAATTGCTAGAAAAGAAAAATGGCAAGCATTGTAAGGAAAACTTACACGGGTCCATTCGTTTCAGATATCCGGCGAGCTTGATCGCCGGAGAGATGGTCGGTAGGCACTTTGGCGGCCTGGTCCAGATCAAAGAGTGCATAGCGGACATTATACTGGAAAGAATGGTGGACGGGACGACGACGCTCATGCCAGACTGTGCCTTCGTACAGGGAAACGAAGCTGCTGCAATCTGCAGCGGCGCGTGGGTTGACGAGACGGCGGAGGAGGAGGACGACGGAGAGGGTAAGGGAAGTGATAGAAGAGGAGACGATGGAGCAAAGAAGATAGAGTAGCTCCATCGTTTCGTTGTCGACATTTTTTCCTTATTCTTCCATCCATCCAAGAAGAAAAGTGTTGGCAGACAACATAGGTGACGGTAACAGTAATTCGTAGTACAGTAATTTAATATTCAAAAACAAAATCGAAACTTAAAATGGAAATGGAAAAAAAAAATTAAATAGGGTATTGTTAAAAAAAATATATAGAAATAAAATTTCTAAATATTATATAGGAAATGGTTGAACTGAATGATAATAGTATGGTTCTTGTTTTCTTTCAGTTTCAACCTCTTATCTTCTTCAAGTTGTCTCATTTTTGGTGATTTGTTGTAATTTTTCATCGAATATCCTTCTAAATTTTCCGTGAAATGTTTGATGGAACATCAATATTGGACCCGGGAAAATTGATTATTAAACTTATGGAATGGAACCAAATTAAACGAGTTTTTGAAGATTAAAAATTTAAAGTTTAAACGATGAAATCTTGATAGAGGGATTGATTGCTATAATTTGGTCAACTTTACCTTTCTGTTATATAGTCTTCAATGAGATAACATTTTCTCTAAGTCTATCCATCCTCCCAAAAGTTCTCTTTAGGTTAAAATGCAAATAAAATATTGTGCATATTCCGGACGAAATAAAGTGCTAGCTAGTTTCATAATGCAATTGAAATTCCACGGTCCACCCCCCAAATAAGAAAACAAATCAAATGCTGCTTGTTTTGCACATAGTGAAGTAGCAGTGTTGCAGGCAAAAACAGCTTTAATGTTTGACAACAAATTAAACCATTAGAGGCTGTTGTTGGTTCCATCAAGATGTACAAGATAAGAACGGTAAACCGCTCGGGCTTCAACCCCTCATGACTAAAAGCAACAATCCTTGGCTCACCAGCATTGTTTAGGTGGTAATGCAGGATCAATGAATAATGTACTTTAATACATGTATATATATAATACAGGTTAGTAGTGCTTTTAAGTATACTGCGTACTAAACCAATGAATTTTATAGCATTTAATTACATGGTAACTTCAAAACTCTTCAGGACAGCAAAAGCCAAGCACCTACATCCTGCAACAGAAATGCACAACATGGTGTTCTCATTCAGAATGTGCTTGATGTTCGACAAAAAGAAGCCAGATTAATGTCTATTCATGTATGTCAAGTCAACATAAGTTGATAACGAACATGTACCTTCCACAACATTGAAACCCAAAGTAAGACAGTAAAACTTACCTCCGTTGAAAATTTTACTATCCAAGATACTTTAACAAAACTCCATCATTTCCAAGAACAAAACCTTGTTTTTCGTTAATAAACCTGCCAAGAAAAGTGTAGAAATGTAAGCAGAGGAAGAACAGGCACTTTTCCATGTTACTTTAGTTAGTGAGAGATGAAATCTGACAAAATTGGAAGTGCTCAACTCACTTTACTGAATAAAGATTGGCAGCTATATTGTCAGCGGCTTTGTCACGTGTCCATGTCTTCCCTTTGTTGGTTGTCTTTAACAAAACTCCGCTTCCACCAGCAGCCCAAGCTTCATCCTGTTGAGATGATCCGCAACATCAATGAATTCTTGTTATCCGAGTTTAACATAGATCAGTGAGACCATTGCAAACTAAACTGTATAAAAAAATATGAGATAATCCAACCCCTCAAATATGCATTGTTTCTTGTTATATGAAGAGGAACATAAGTAAAAAGGGCCAGCCAAAGCTCACCAACTCCAGTCAAAATTTCGTAACCATTAATGAATTATTAGGTTCCTTCTTGCCACCCCGTGTGCCAAGATGACGTTGATTGTTATGATAAAAAAAACCAGCGGCGGACCATCCAAATGATAAAAGAGTCGTAACAGTAGTATGCCACCTGAATGAGGTCATTCTAAGCCTATGATTTATTCATTTTTTTTTCTTTTTTTTTCCCTTTTTTTTATTTTTTATAAATGGGAAAAGTACCTGAGAGCGATACCCAACATCAAGGATGCCAAAACCACGACTCTGCACAGGAATTTCCTCAAAATCCTCTGCTATCTGGAAAAGAAAAATATTCCCAGTTAAGTATAACGACTTGCATCAGGTACCACAAGCAGAAAGAATAGATGGTGTGCTTCTATTAAAGAAGCACAACCATGGTGTTTTCCAGAGATGCATTGGGCAAAGTACAGAAATTTACTCTCAGTATCACTTGAAATGGAAATGACCGAAACTAGCATATTTTGAATGATGTATTCATCAAAATCTAATCAGTGCACTTTGTCAATAAGCATAAATTTCTCAATAATAATTCAGAAAGGCAGTCGAGAATCAATATGAAGTGCAAACTGCCGTCTTGCTGTTTGTCGCCTCCCAATGGAGCATTTTGCTAAATACTCCTTCCCTCCACAAAATCTTGGACCTTCGAAGAAGTCCAACTTTTCAATAATATCAAAAGAGAGCAAGGATCCAATGTAACAAAGTTGATAAAGAGAACTTTATATGCATAAGGTACTTACCCCCGTACCCTTGCTGAGATACAGTCCCCCACCGCGCACTAGGAGCCAGAGACCACCATCAGCTCTCCATCCCATATTTTGGATTCTTCTTGCAATGTTTCGATTGTGTGGCTGCCAAAATGGCTGGAACATCGTACAGACATGTGAAACATCATTGTAAGGTAATTACTTCGCCAAGTCATGGTAAAAACTCAACTTTTTCAATAAAAAGGAAAATGAGATAGAGCGAAATGCCTTGTCAACCATGCCACATCCTTAGAAAGACCATTAATAATTAATAAGAAATTGATCTCACCTGCCCCGGCTCCCAAGTCATGTAGAAATTACCACGGCTTGAAACAGCAACATAGTTTCCTTCTGGGGAGCGATTCACAGTACTAAATGTGCCCGTATAATAACTCGCACCACTAATACCACTTGAAACTGTTCTGCAATTCATTAAGATAAGAAGACACTCTTACTAGTAAGCATAAAAGATTCACGTGGAGAAATCAGCTTAAAGATTTCCCCAGAATTTAGAACACTTTCAGCTGCAGCACATGGGTGTGGATTTACATAGTCACTCAAGTCAAAGACAGCAGAAAGGGCAGAAATATTTTCTAAAAGAAGTCTCACATGAAAAGAAGTTCTGGATCACTGACTTTAAATACTCTGTAGATTGTGACATTTATATTTATTAACATCCATCATGCAGTTGCCCAATGCCGAAACTGAATTGTGTCAAGCTTAGTAAATATAATTGCAGTGATGCTATAATAAGGGTTACAAGGCAAGTGAACTTTCTGAGGATCTCTGCCAGTCAAGTTAAAGAGGAGAAAAAAAAAAAAGGCATCGGCCAAACCTGAACCTTAAACTTGGCCAGTGAAGCATATAGCTGATTTACAACATTAATAGAACCATAAGCAACTACGGTTCTGTGAACATGTGAATATATGACAGGAGCGATGCAAAACCCCCCTCCACAATCAGAAAAACGAGAATTTTTTTCAGTTCCGAAACAAGATAATGGTAAATTGAAAATCCATTAACAGCAAAGTAGGAAGTAGGCAACCCTATAATGCATGTTTGCTGAACCCAATCTATTATGAAGGACATTGGATGCAATATTATCTGGACAGAAACTTACCTGTTAAGAGTAGCTGAAACAGTCTCCTGTACCGCAGCCCTCCAATTGTACCCTCCATTTGCTGTTATATATATTGCACCTTCATCAGTTACCATTTCGGCACTTTTTTCTCCTGTTGCATTTATATAGACCTGCCATTTCATTAAGTAATTGATAATACTGAAGGCCACAATAACATGAATTTGCAAATTTTTGACTTAATTCAACAAATTGCCAAAACTATATTTTCATTAGGAAGGAATTTTGTAGCTGAACTTTACAACTCTTAAAAATTTTACCACTATTTCACGTCTCTGGTCCTCCAATAATTATCTATCATTCCAAAACTATAGGCAGCTAGACATTTGATATTTGGATTTATACTTTTCAAGCGTTTTGTTGATACTCATCACACGACAATTCTTTCCAGGGCGAAGAACATCCCCATAAACAGCCATTTCTATTATGTCCAGCTGATTGTCATTAAGACTGATGTCACAAGAGTAACCTTTTAGCTCATTGGAGTTAATATCTTCCTTATTCGATTTGAGCCGGTTCACCCGAGTTTGAAGGATTTGACAATTATCCAATACAGACGGACCACCTTTGGAGAAAGGTATAATGTGGTCGAATTCATAACAGAGACAGCCTTGGCATCTATGGAACCGCTTCAAAACAATGTTACCAGCAGCATCTTTTTTCCATCTCTCGGGATTCCTTCCCTTCACAATTTCAGCTTTCTCCCAGCACATAGTTTGTGCTTTTGTGTCAAAGAACCTTGGTCTTTCATCTTTGATGATTTTCCCACTATTTGTACCATGAAGACCTTCAGTCTATTCACAATCAGTTGTCAACTTTTTCAGAAAAGGAAAAAGTATATGATTCATTATCAGTTTTAACCATTTAAACAAATAGTACGCATTCATTAATCTGTAAAACCAATCAAGAATAGGTCTCATGGAAATCTAAACGGAGGAGTCCAAAATATTCGCAGGACGTTGTTCTTTCTGGGCAATCGAGGTATCATCTAGAGCATTTTTCTTGTACACTATTCTAGATATCTCCAGTATAATTTTATTATTTTCAGTTATTGCTAAATTAGACGAGCAAATTTACGTGCACAGACTCACTTTCCAAGTTCTGCTTATCTTGGAACATGTATCCTCATTTTGTTGATTGACTTTTTAAAGTCACTTCTACAAAAATATATATTGTGACAGAACTTTCATGACAGCACTGTCAGACTCCCAGATTCGTCCTAAGTGTGTTTGTCATTCTCTTACAGCTCTTCATGACGAAGAACTCATGTTAGAAACTCTTAAATGTCCATCTCTAAAGGGAGAATAAAACCCACTTGTTTGGAGCTTGGGCATGCACTTCAAGTTGCAATAGAAAGAATGTTTGGCTTAGGGGTCACATAATCGAGTAGAAGGGGCTTCATGAGGTCTGGTCTGTATATGAGACTGCATTTACGGGGTTGTGAATAAGCAGCCTCAACAGTGAAGAGAATGACGTCCGCCTATCAGAATTGAGACTCAAGATTAAATGGTTGTAGTTTCTTCAATGAATTTGTGGGTTTTTGTTTAAGGGAAATCAGATATATTTCTAGGTGATTTTAGGTTATGCTCTCTGGATTTGACATTAATATCCCTTTGCTTTAGAGTTTCCAGAAGCACATTTTCAGTAATCTCTCATCACCATAATCCTCCAAAGACATAAGAGGAACTTCAGTTTCTTAATACCATGCCGACCATATTTTCATACCAACAAGAAGTACATTTTTCAATCTTGGTATATGTAGGTGGTGAAACCTAGGTTCACATGGTTGACGTAAAAAGGCCAATCACCAATGACACTCACTTCTCAGGCAGCAAACACTAAAAATATGACTAGATCATGAATGCAACCCCATTCATCCCAAGTCCACTAATTCATGTCATCCTATTAGCACCAAGTTCAGACCATGTCACATTTGTGCCCAATTAATGAGGAATCCCCCCAAAAAAGAGATCAAATAATGCTACTAATCAGGGGAATCAGATAAAATGCTAAACGTGAGCCTATCTATTAATCGTGGATAATGGATTGTTGACCAGCAATGACCGAACACACGCAGGATTTTATTTTTTTTGGTATTTCTTCAATTCTGGATTATCAAATGAAGATGTATGCGCACCCGCGCGTGAGTGTGTGTGTGTATGTGTTTTTTTTTTTTTCCCCCTTCCTTTTGGTATTTAAGTCTTGAGTTTATATTTTTATAATCATCTACCCTCTCAAATCCTACATACTTTCACCAAACAGCTCCAACAATGAACATGCTGGAGATCCCCTAGCCCCTATTCTCCATCCAAACAACTACCAAGTCAAATTCGTGAGAAACAAGGAATCTAGAACAATGATTTGCAAGCTGGTAACATGATGGTTTTTACTTACATGGTGAATGAGTAGATGACCGAAAGATCTCACTGGTTAGTCTAAGTCACAGGAAGCTGAACTAAAATAAACCTTTTAATACATCCTTGTTTAAAATGACTGTTACCAGCGGAGGACAACAAAAGCAAGTCTATTACTTGAATCCAAACTGAGTACCAAGCCAATAACAAAACTTATCAGGCATTAGCTCAGTTTTTAGTTTTTGTGAAAACAAGTTTGCTTCTACTAAGTGCATATTTTAATGCAAATTACTCTGAGCATAAATGGTAAAACATGTTAAAGGACATCTAGAAGTAACAGCGTAAATATTGTGTTATAGAGATGTGATCGTGCTTACAATATCACCAGGAAGCTGAGAACTCAGTGGAATACGTTTCCAAGTATCTCCTGCATCTGAAGTGTACAACAGAATAGCTGGTTTCCCGACAATCCACCCCTCCTTCCCTTTGAAACTAATGGAGTTAAACCTGTAGTTGAAATCCTCCTCTTCAGCAGAGGCTATAGAACGTGGTGCCCAAGTGTTTCCTCCATCTTTTGTCTCCAAAATTGTCTGTCGAGTACCCAATAGGAAACCTACAAATACAATTAGTGCCTAACACATCAGCCAACTCCAAAAAACATGCACTATATAATTGAGGAAAGCTGAGCAGCATACAAATTCACAATCTTACAATTATCGGCCATCTTTATAATGATTCCCTTTTAAGATTTTTCAATGCATTCTGATATTGGCACTTTAGTATCTGGTATTTATATAGTTTATTAGTATTTTCATCATTGAATTGTAATGAGAATGTGTTACATGTAGCTCAAGGTCAGCTACCAATAGGAAAAGATCAAGTCAAACTCCGAGATTTCTCAGCACTAATCACATTCTGAAAATGATTGACATGTAAAATACATTTTTATTTTGGTACCGATGTATCCTAAGGACTGTAGTGAGTTATTTTCAAGCCATTACAATTTAGAGATGTTTCAGAATACCCAAATAAGATAACTCGATGATTTTGCAAAGTTTGGACTTGGAGAGTACAATATTGAAGCCACAACTTGGTAAAGCACACGACTAACATTATAATATGAAATGATTATAGTAAGAATTATTTGTGTCGTTTACACACCAAAAGTGATGAAAGACAACTAATCTAAAAGCCAATAAACCATTCTCAGACACACCTAAAACTGTGAGCTCCAGAAAATCTCATTGCTTTACCAATGATGTACAATAAGGTCAATACCTCCTACATTTGGTGTAATACACAAAGAACTGCTGTATCCAAAAAACCAGTGAAGTGGTCAAATCTGTTTTACCAAAATATTTTCCTAATAAGGAAGTCACTTCGTTCATTTTATGCCTTTGGCTATCCATTCTCTAGTTTTTGCTTGCAGCTGAAATTTTCAAGATGTATTTCAAGCTAATATTTAGAAGTTTTTGATTTAATAAACATCCTAGTATGTTTCTGTGAATAGAACAATGATCAGACCCAATTGAAGGTAACAATGTTGTACCATATGTATCTGCTGAAGTCGATAAAATGAAGATGCTGGATAGGACTTCAGCATAGATTATGCATAGCCAGAATGCAGAATACGGGAGACTTACAAGGAGGGAGTGTCTTGGAGGAAATTCGCTTTCTTATGGATAGGAATAAATGCATGGGGAAAGACTAGAGACTTCAAATTGCAAATGCAACGCTACTAATTGTACCATTATCTGATGCACAAGGCTATTTCAAGTTATAAGAATAATCGGGCATTCTTCAATGTCCCAAAGATTCCCAGCAAAAATTTCATCTAAAAACAAATAAATTATGGCAACAATGATCTTTCTTAACCATTCCAGTGACAAAAATGTAATGCGACATACAATCCAAAGAGCCAAATATTGATGGACTAGTAAAACCTCAAAGAAAGAAACAGAATGCAGGAGCAGGCTAGCAGTATTAACAAAACCCAAATGAGCTTAACTTTTACAAAACTCAAAAACAAAAAGAAAAGAAGAAATAGAACGGTTTGGGCCAATGAACAAGAATTGAGAGCAGACCGTGACTAGGATCATCAGGAACAAAGGCAATGTCCAGAAGAACAACACCAGGATCAATAGGCAAATAAACTCTCTCCCATTCAGAAAGGAGCGATTCTTCAGCTGCAATCGCCTTCTCTGGAAGCTGAACCACTGAACTTAACAATGAAATGGCCGCCGCCGAAGCCGTCTCTGTAATTAACCTCCGGCGACCCTTTTGAGGGGAAGAAGAGGCTGAAGCTCTAGTGGCAGTTGGGAAAGAAGTAGAAGTGAAATGAGAAGGGATGTTTCGGGTCTGAGTCTGAGGAATGGAGAAGAGAGAATGGAGGGATGGCTTTTGGATGAGTTGCAGAGTGACCGCCATTGTTACTATCCAGAGGAGGAGGACCCAAGTGGCTTCTCGCGGAAGACGTTTTTGATGATGAAATCTGTTATCCAGAACAATAGAGAGAATGAAGGGAGCTTTCTTTTATTTTCTTTTATTTATTTTTAGTTTTTCTATATTTTTTTTTTTTTTGTTTTGTTAGTAAAAGTATTAAAAAAAGGGCCGAACTTATTTTGAACCACAGAAGGAGAAATGTCAAAGAAAAAAAAAAATAAAAAAGACACGTAGTTCTTAATTTTCACTCAAACATTTGGTTCCATGAAATGAAATGAAAGACACTAGTTCCTTATTTACTATAATATTAGATCTGTTCCAAAAAAATAGTCATATTGAGTTTTATATTTGTAATATTTTTAGTACGAATTTCAAAATTCGTATCTGGATTATTTTTTTAAGATGAATGAAATATTTTTTTTCTTTTTTTTTTTTAAGGAAACATTACTAAGCATCATATTTTAAAGAATAATAAGGCGAGATTTTCATTTTACAATGTCAAGTCTCGTAGTAATATTTTTAGTACGAATTTCAAAATTCGTATCTGGATTATTTTTTTAAGACGAATGAAATATTTTTTTTCTTTTTTTTTTTTAAGGAAACATTACTAAGCATCATATTTTAAAGAATAATAAGGCGAGATTTTCATTTTACAATGTCAAGTCTCGTAGTATTCCGGTACCTTTTCTGAATTATTCTCACTATTGAAAAGTAGACTCAAGGCAATCTCATCCGCTAGCAAGTAAGCGTTAAGATACACATCTTCAAAGAAAAGTAACAATTAATAGAAGAAAGAACACAACTAGTACTACTAAAATACACCTGCTCACACACATATTCTGTAGTACTACATCCATTTCAAAAAAATAGACTACATTAAGTTCTGAGATTTGTATTAGTTTCAGTACAAATTTGAAAACTCAATGTGAATTTTTTTTTTTTTTGGGAATGGAGGTAATAATAAATAACTAGTATAAATAAAAATATAAATGAAAGTAAAAAAGAAATCAAAGAATTTTATACTTTTAGGGATTATCCGTGTGTTCTATTTATATATATACTAGGTTGCTCTTTATCCCGCGTTGCGCAATCAGTTTTTATTTATATTATAAGATTTTAAAACAAATAACATTATAAAAAATGCAACAAAGGAGCTATATAATAATAATTGAGTAGCAAAAGAGAATATTTTTATAATTGAGTAGCCCTATAAAAATGCAACAAAGGATAATATTTTTAGCAGTATCGCTGGTTATATAAATTAAGATTTTTTTAAGATAATTATTTGTCTTTGCTGATAAACTTCATATTTTCTACTCTTCAAATTGTTGTTGTGTGATGATTCGTATTGTCGGTCTCGAGCTTAAACGATAGTCTTTCTCTTAGTTTTATTTGATTTTATTTAAGGTACTTTCTCCACTCTCCATACATGTAGATGGGTTGAAATTGTTGGGCTCTGTAAGACGTGTATTTGTCTCCGTGCTTCAAAATAATATATGTTGCTTGTTTGTTGTAGCACAATCTCGCATAGCTAGGTTAACACGTAATAGTTGATAAGAAAGTGTATAAATAGTCTTATCCATGTTACACATTGGGCGGATATTCCTTATTAAACACTTTCGCACGCTTTTATATGAACTTTATCAAGTATGAATTTCTCAAAAAAATTAAATCTCTTAAAACAATTTGGCCAAATTAATCATATATAATATGTCATTAATTAATTCTTTTTGCGGAAAATAATTGAGGAAAATATACATTATAAATGAAATAATTGAGTTAATGTCTATGAAAAACTATTTTATGAAGATGTCTAATTTAATTTTGTTAGCATGTTTTTCGTGGATGGTTTTCTGGATAATCGAGTTAACTTAAAAGTAATGAGTTAATGATAACAACCTTAGTGCCTCATTTTTCATTAACATCTAGATAATATATTATCAACATAAGCGACTCATTTTTCATTATGTTTATAACTTAGTTTCGAATTATTTTTCTCTACTTTGGTTTAATGATTTTAATTATTTTACTGCTTTTTTTGTTCAGCATTTTTCTTCTTTATGTCCGCATTAATTTTTTTTTTTCATATTTGGTTCGATGGTTTAAAGAAATTTTTGATTTTGAACTTTCCATGTTAAGAATCTGGAAAAAGTTTGCAGCGTTTGTGAAATTCAGGCTTCTAATTTCTTTATTTTCTTGGAATTTTACCCCAAAACGTGTTTTTCTTTTCCACCCTCAAAGAAGTAGATGAAAATTTGAAAAAGAAAGTTATAATTTGTTTTATTTGGGAAATTTTCTGCTTGAATCTGCTTTGATGATGAGTTTATAAGATCATTCGTGCTCTTAATTCTGGTGAATTATCGAACTTTCTTTCTTTTTTCATGGCACATGAATTTTTGGCGCGCGTTTCTTTAGTTTTACATTGCAGTTGGGCGATTGTTTTGATCTTCAAGTTTCCAACTGTCAACTAAACTAATTCATTCCATATATTTTTTTTAAAAAATTTTTTTAATATAAACAATCAGAACTTTTCAAGGGCACCTTTTTTGCTTTTGCTTTTGATTGTCAAAGTATAACTTCAAGATGTGCTAACAAGTTTCACAGTGTAATATTTTAAAATAAAGAGGAAAAAGAATCAAGCAATAGTGAAGCAATGACCAAAGAATCCACTTCATCTATAGTAAAACCAATAGAGCAAGTTGAAAAAGAACCACCTAAGGCTGAAGAACAGAAGCAGGTCTCAGAACAGAAGCTAGGCTGCCACAGCACGGGAGAAAAAGTTCCCGGAAGAAGTAAAACTCGTCGCGAAGGAGGCCGAAAATGCAGTAACATCTGAGAAGAAATCCGAAGAAGTGAAAGCCGTTTTGGCTGCTGCAAATGATCATCAGGAAACAGAGAAGAAGATAACAGAGGAAATTGTTGGAAATTTTAGCTTATAAAATAAAATAATTAATTTAGAATTGAAGGATAAAATTAAGTTGGCAACTCTTCACATGTTTAGTGGTTATTTCCTATAAGTCAAGAATTGTGTACTTGTTTTGTATCCTTTTATTTCTGCAAATGTTGCCTATAAATAGGTGAACTAGTGAAGGAATTCATTTAACTTTTGCATTCTAAAATCCTGAAGAACATTCAATAAGTTGCAAATTGCATGTTCTTGTGTTCTTAAGTCCTAGAGGCAAATTGCCATTCAACCCTGTTTGTAATCTAGTGGGAGCAAATATTGTCTTAAGGGTAGTGTTTGACACGCTTAGAGCACTTTCAATATCTTTGTGAATTTCCTTTAGTTGTTGAATTTCAGATTCTATCAATAAAATTTTCTTTTCTCCATCTTTGGTCTTTGGTTCATATTGTGTTGTTTCTTTTGTTTTCATTCCCTGATTTTTTTCAATTTTAAGACAATATTATCATGGAATCAACACAAGAGTCTGCCATAAAAGTGATGAACCAAGACTCTGTCAAGTTGGATCGTCTTGATGGATCTGGCACTAATTTTAACGGTTGAAAGGACAAGTTAATGTTCTTTCTCACGGCCTTGAAAGTGGCTTATGTTCTAAGCCCCAATTTGGAGGAGATCCCACCGCCTGCGGAAGGATAGTCTGATGCAATCAAGAAGAAGCGTGCACAACGTGAGGAAGATGAGATCATTTTTCGTGGTCACATCCTCAACAACATGTCAGATTCAGTTTATGATCTCTTCTCAAATGTGAAAAACCTAAGAGAGATTTAGGCTGCCATTGAAAGGGAGTTTGCAAATCAGAAACAAGGGACAGATAAGTTTCTCATTAAAAACTATTTTGAATTTAAGTTACTTGCTAATTCTCCTCTTATGGATCAAATTCACAATCTCCAAGTTATAGTATCAAAGCTAAAAGACATTGGTGTTGAAATCTCAGAATCTTTGCAAGTTGGGGTAATTATTGCCAAATCGCCTCATACTTGGAACGATTATAAAAAAAAACTGTTGCACACTTCTGAGAATTTGACTATGTCTAATGTTTTGAAATACTTGAGAATTGAAGAAGGGGCAAGACTTCTTTAAAACTTGGAAATTGGAGAAAACTCTAATAAAGTGAATTTTGTGGCTGAAAATGGGGCTAACAAAAATAAGAGGAAGAAACCTGGAAATTCTAATGACAAGAAAAAGAATAAAAAATATTTCAACTGTGGTGTAAAGGGTCATTTTAAGGCCGATTGTAAGTCTAACAAGAAGAATAAGGGAAATAACATCCCAAGTGCAAATCTTGTTGAAGATAGTGCGCTGGTTGTGGCGGTTATCTCACTTGGAACCGTGACCGAGTTGAACATGGTAACACCACTTCCTTCCAAGGATTGGTGGTATGATTCTGGGGCTCGAATTCACGTGGGCAACGACAAGGATTAGTTTAAGAACTATGTTGTTCTTGAAGGACATGAAGTTGTAATGGCAAATGGTGTTAGGGATAAAATTCAAGGCAAAGGAGAAGTGCATTTGCAATTCACCTTGGGAAAGAAACTAGTCTTAACTAATGTACTTCATGTTCCTAGTCTTGTTAAGAACCTTGTATCAGCCGACATCCTTAATAAAAAGGAATTGAAGGCAGTCATTGAATCTGACAATGTAATCTTGTCAAAGAATGGGGTGTACTCTTGTAATGACATGTTCAAGTTGAGTATCAATAAGATGAATGATGTTTTTATTTATTCGATCGAGTCTTCTTATTTTCTTTGGCATGGTAGATTAGGACATGTGATCCATAAAGTTGTTTCTTTCATGTCTAAAAATGGCCTAATCAATTTAAGTGACTTGGAAAATAAGAAATGTGAAACTTGTGTGCAAGCGAAAATAACAAAGTTACCATTTCCTAAGGTTGAAAGAAATACATCTTTGCTTGAATTGGTGCATTCGGATGTATGTGAACTTAATGGATTTCTAACTAGGGGAGGTAAGAAATACTTTGTGACTTTCATAGGGTGCAAGTTTATTTAATGAAAACAATAGATGAAGTATTTGATATGTTTAAAGTTTACAAGTCCCTAGCTGAGAATCAATTAAGCAAGAAAATAAAAATTTTGCAAAGTGATAGAGGAGGTGAATACTTCTCGAAT